CCTCGGAGGAGGCTGAGGTTGCTCTGCGGTGCCGAGGGGCAACGGCTCGAAGCCGCCCTGTTGCCGTGCTCCTGGTGCCGCACCGCCAGACCACACAGGTCCCCGGCGGTTACCCTGCGCCTGCCGAGGCGTTTCTGTTCCAGCCCAGAGCCCCCTGAGCCCAGCGTTCCTGCAGGGAGCAGCGAAGTCGCGATCTCCCAGTGGCTGCCGATGGAAAAAGACCCACTTTTGGTGGATTTGATAATCCCATTGCTCCCCACGTCTCTCCCGACTGTAGAAATGGGACAAGCTGTGTCCCATGAACAGGACCGCGGCAGCTCTGCTGCAGGGGAGGGCACTGGTTATCGCCGTGTCCAGAGCAGCCGCTCCCCACGGCAGCAGAGGGGCGCAGCTGGAAGCATTTCCCGTTCCCCCTTGTTCACAGCCGCACAGGGAGGGATGTCCTCCAGCCCCGAGGCACACTCACCACCGCGTTTTCATCTTTGAATATATTCTCTCCACTGACTTTGCTGAGAAGTTTTCCTGGGAAGTTCAGATGATGCTCAGAGACAAATTCAAAGACATTGTTCTTCCTGCAAGAGAGAGGGGAAACAGCCGAGCGACGCGGGGCTGTTTGTAGGGCAGTGAGCTGTCTCTAGGCTCTTTCTAATTGCCCAAGTGGTGCTTGAATGGGCCTCGATTTCTGAGGACCACAGTCATGCCTGCCTAACCTTTGTGCGCTCCCGCATTAGTTTCTTAATAACCTTGTACATGCACCAACCATGGATGATTCTTGCATAAACGATCCTGAAATCAGACCTTCACGGTGATCACCTTGCCTTACAGCTTTCAGAGCCTGCTACACCTATTAACTCCTTGCTGCAGGAGAGGTCTTACATTGCCTTTCCAAAGCCGCGGCTCCTCTTACAGTGAACCATTTTGCTCTATTATTTGTGGGACGCGGGCATGGTTAGTGGCTGATGGTGGCCTCCATGGGGGCTGAAGGTCTCGTCTGGCAGAGCTGTGTTTGTCTGGGGCAGCGCAGCCCCGGCGCCCCCGCGCCCCCCAGCAGTCCCGCCAGTGTGACAGGCATGGCTGGGGAATTTCCAGTCTCTCAGGATGGACGGAGATGGTGTTTTGAAAAATGAAGGTCTTCACACAGGGTAATTGAAGGCATTTTGTACAAAAGCAGGAAAGTGCTCAGGAAGCGCCCAGCAGGGCAGGTAATGGCTTTTAGCTGAACCTCACGAGCTAAGATCTTTTTCAGCCCCATCTGTTATCCCTGGCACTGGAGCTCCCCGATGGGAGATGCCGGAGCATCACACGGCCAGCAGCCCTGGGCCATGGCCACAGCCCCGGCAAGAGCAGCTCGGCCCCTGGCCCGGGTCACCCCTGGGTGCCGGGGGCTCCGGGTGGGCTGCGCCAGCGCGTCCCGGGCAGAGGCTCAGCTGCTCCGTCTCCATCGCTGACTCTTCCTGTGACCTTGGCCAATCCTTTACCACCGCGAGCCCACTTCAGCTCCCACCGTGGCCCAGGACAAGACTGTTCCGCTAAGGACAAAAACTGCCCCGCAGCCCCTGTTTCTGCCTGACCAAAGGCATTAAATCCTCTCCCAGGTCCCCGCTAGGGAGCCCAGCTGAGCTCCCAAGCCTTGCAGGAAAATAAGGAACAAAAGTCACAGCTCTGAACTCCTACCCATGCTGCTTACCAGGTTACCACCAGCTGCTTGAAATGTTGGAGCTTTCTCTCTCCCTGACAGGTCGCGCAGGTCTTGCTGCCCCGGCCAGAACAGGTATTGCACCTTTGGATGCAACAGTCAGGGCTTTAAACAGGACTTTAATCGCTGCCCACATCCAGAGTTCTGTGGACCCGCGGGCGACTTGTTTCAGACGGTGGGGGCAGCTCAGGTGGGTCAGCAGGACAGGACTCGAGAGGGCACACGCACCGCATGTAGGTCATCCCCCGGTCTATGACTCAAGGGACATCGCACATTTGCTGGGAAAAACAAATGACTAATGCCAACCTCAAACCTATTTGTAAATGTGGAATTAGCCAAAGAATATATTTGTACATCTAATTAAGGGCGATCACAATTTCCCCACACAACGGTAGGAAGGAGAGTGTCACTTTGAAGACGCTGCTGCCTGTGCTTCTACCAGATGCAGGAGGCATATGCGTATGCATGGAGCATTTTGATTGCATCAATGCAACGCAGATTAGCAGCCGTTAACAACTGATTCATTAAGGCTCTTCAAGCCATCATTAGCCCCAGCGGATTCATGCTTTAGAATGACTGCCATGATTATGTGCGATACCATCTCTGTTATTTTAAACTTAATGGAGCCACATAAACAAAACAGTTTTAGAACAGCGCTTTCTTTTTTTTGTCACTTAAAGATCATTTTTAAGCCTGTTAAGTTTCATGTTTGGAAAAACCAGAGGGTGGTAATAACTCTCCAGGCTGCGCTGGCAGTGAACCCTGCCAAACCCCGGCCGTGCTCTGCGGGAACCAGACCTCAGAGCAGCTCTGAAGTTCGCTGCTGCCATCCCGGACCGGCTCCTTCCAGCCCCGTCCCACCACCCCGGCCCGGCTCTGAGCCCACCGAGACCCAGACGGGAGGTGGAGCGTTGACCTGGGGAGACTCGGACCCTCTTTCCTGCCCCAGCCCCTAAAGGTCTGAGAAACCCTGCTGTCATCGGAAAACCCAAAGCCTTCCCCGGGTTCCCAGAGATGCTGGGAAATGCAGCAGTCTTCTAACAGAAAGGTACAAAATATGGCAGAAAAGAGAGCCAAAAAATTATTATTTTCCAAAAGCTTAAGAGCTTCTCTCGTGAGTTTGGGACAGCAGCCTGGTTTCTGAATGCTGAGGGTGGGCCACACAGAGTGAATAATAGATGTTAAAATGAAAGCTCACTTGAAAATCAGAGGGAAAGGCTATTTCTCACCAATTTTTCCTGGATAATAAAGCCACTGCTGTACTGCTTTATCTGTTAGGTGATCTTCATGGTAGAAAACCAAAAAAAAGGCACAGAGGCATGTAGAGCATGCCCCAGCTCTGCACCGTAACCTCTGCCAGCAACAGGCACGTGGAGTCCTTTTGGCTCAAACGTGCTGGATTAAGGGCTTACTCCCCCCTACCAACTTCCCGCTATTTTCCCCGTACCGGCGGATCCTCAGCTGACAGCCTCCACCACGCCGGTGGGACTGGGGTGACTGGTTTCCACTCCCCCCCTGGCGCGCGGCAGGGTGGGAGCGGAGGTGCGGAGGAGCCCATCGTACCTTCTGCGACCTGTACCTGAACACAGCTGGCACCGGCTCTGCTGCTTCCGCCTCCAGCGGGACCCCTTGCACGTCACACACCTCGTCTACAAATACACCGCAGAATTAAAACAGGTGCTGACTGCCAGCGTAAAAATGTCAAGTTTATAAATCAAAAGCTTTTATGCATGTTATCGGAATAATTGCTGACTTAGGCTTGCAGAGAAAGGCATATGCCGAGTGCATACACGGCAAATGAAAAGAACGTACAAAATAGCTCATAAATTGTGACTCTGGATTAGTTAGGTGTTCCAGTCAAACTCAGCAGTGATGCAAACTGGACACACGATCTAGGTTGACATGTCCTTTTTCTTACACACATGTTTTTCCACTGTTATTTATTAACGTAGTTAGTAGTAGACTCTTATTTAAGTATTCACATATAATCAGATTAACTTTAATTAAGGGGCAATTTTAGTGCAGTAACAACAAATCTTTTGGCTGTCTTTGGCAACATCTGTGCAGAACAACAAGTAAAGACGGGAGGGCAGGTTTGTAGCTGCACTCACGCCCCTGGGCTGAGCCCCCTCTCCCGCTCAGAAACCCCGAACGCCGAACGGAGCATGTCTGAAACCAGCAAGCGGTTTGCTGTATTTCGTGCCTCTGATCCGACCTCATCTCAACAGCCCAGAAGCAAATTCTCCTGTTCCTCTCACCATCGTAACACAGAGGCTATTATCAGTTGAGGATGGGGTAAGACATCTTTGCCACCTGGGCGGGATTTTGACACCCCCATTCAGCATCTCTGCAGGACGCGGGAGCATCAGCGGGAACCTGAGCTGAACACCAGCGGGTTTGGGATACAGGGTGGCAACGGGGCAATAAACCAGAACTTGCCCCATGTTCCCAGCCCTCGTAAGAAGCACAGCAATAAGATAGTATGTGTTGTAATTTTGCAAATGAAGCCCAAACTTGGAGGAATAGGAAAGGCAGGCTGCCTGGCGGAAGGCTTCCCGGCTCCTTACCCGACCTGCCCCATGGCACACCCCGCACTTGGACCGGCCGTGACCGTGGCATCTGTGGCAGTCCTGAAATCAGAAGATTATTCATGCACACAGCTGCCCAGGGACTTCGGATATCTCATATTATGCACATGCACTCTTCCTGCATCAAAATTCAGTGATAAAATTCTGGTCCTAACAGGACAGAATCCAACACCGCAACATTGTGCTGTACGACCATTAAAGGAGTCATAAATAATAATTATTTAACAAAGGCAAATGTCTACGTAGTGCTGGCAAAAGAAAGTAAATTTTGCTTCTTTATTCATCATTTCACTTAAAAAGTAAAACAAATTGACCAGCTATAGAGCTTGTCTAAAGCTAAATGAGAGCTGTCACGCAAACAAATGTTCTGCTAATGTTGAAAAAAAAATTTAACAAAAGAAGAAAGATTATCCAGTGCTGTTTCTTGAAGAGGCTGCAGCAAGATTTGTCCTCAAACTTCTAGAGGAAGAAAACACCGAGAAGAAGGGATCTCTGACTCTTTTCTCTGGTGTTTAAAGAGGAAAACCCCGAGAAAATGGGAACCATAGCGAGCTGCCCATGCCTGTCCGGAGGAGCTGGGGGTCCCGGGGGAGGGATACTGCCCCGGCGGGGGGCTGCTCCCTGAGGAGCCCATCGGCCGGGGAAGGGGCTGCGGGGGGCAGGCGCTCGCCGGCGC